GATATACCAGCGTTTATAAATATTCATACTACTCGCAAAGAAACATACACCAAGAAAAACAAAAAGTCAACTCTCACACTTGTACTCAAAAGTCTCTCTATAATCTTTGTAAATTCAAAGACTTTGGAATTAAAAGTAAGTTCTTTTTACACTTTCTATTGTTTATAATTTTCATCTATTTTATTTATTTTTTGGGCAAGGTCTAATAGAGGAAACGCTAAGTGAGCAATTAATTTATTCAAATTTTTTTTTATCTTTTTATCTTTTCTATATTATAACGTTCTTAATCTCTTTATTATGGATTATATGATTAAAAAGATAAAGTAATCTTCTGAGTTGAATTGGTTGTTTTGTATCCCAATTTTGGGAGCTTGTTTAAGCTCTTTTAAACATGATGACTTTTTTTTTTTTAATTATAGTCTTAAGCCTTTCTTAGAAGGTCAAGAAAAAGTTAAGATAGAGTTAGAAAAAAAAAAAAAAAACTGAAGAAACTAATTTTCCTGAACGGTAAAATACTCTAAGACCATTACAAATATATTGATTTTTTTCTTCTAATATTTTATACCATTAGATAATTATACATCATCTTCTTTGCTTGTTCAGTAGAAAGTTTTAAAAATTTATTGATATTTGTTTAGAAAATCGAGAAATTGGTAGAATAATTGTTATAGAAAGCCACATAGGTCACTCCTCTTTACAGATCAAAAAGTAAATTCTGGGCTTTCTATCTCTTAGCATATGATTTTTTTGATAAAAGATCTTGAAAATTGTAAGAAAAGACAAAAAGACATAAAAATTATAAGAGAAAATAAAGATAAAAATAGTAATATTTCCTTCTTAAGAGAAAAAATTTTATTTAAAAAACTTTGCCAGTGGTTAACATAATCGAGATTTGACAATATGCACGTTGCTAATGTTTCATTCCATCGTACTCTTTGACAATTGTGAAAGGCTAAAACATTTTGCATTTTTTGCTACGTTCATTGAACTTTATTAAACCTCATTCTATAGCAACGTTGCTTGCATGTTGTTGAATAATTAATATTTGACTCTTTTACAACATTCGTTCACTATTGCAAAACATACTCTTCAGTGACTATCAATAAAACCATAATATGCCATAGCCAAAATTTCATCGCAATTGTTGTCAACAAACACAAAATTCCTCCATCTACATCTCCCAGTCTACGTAAATTATTAGATGGGAAGCTAATTTCAATGTCCAACATCGCCGCTCATTTAATATGCCAAGCCACATAAGGGAAGTTGTATTTTTTTTGAGATTACTATTGGGTTGCAAAGTTTAATCAGTGTCGCTACACAAAGTTGGTACGTGAATTAACCTCTACAATAAGGTTGCCCTGGAGTTTGAAATCTCTTGGGAGTCTCGGCTCCCAAACCAATATTTCATTAAAGTTAATTTTGAAATTTATACTTGTGATTTCGATTTTGCCTAAATTTTTCTTATAAAAATATAGCAACCATCAAGGTTTCATAATCATCAAAAAGAAAGAGAGAAAAGTTAGAGAAATAGAGTTTGCAGTTTTTTAATTATAAATTTATTTTCATCATAGTAAATTACTACAATGATGAATGAAGATATAATGAGTTATATTCAATTGAGACTTTTAAAGGCTTTTATAAATACAAAGCAACTTAATCATATTTTCATGTCAATAAAAATATTTTTAAAAAAGCATAAAAAAATTAAGTCAGATCAAAAGATTAACAAATATACAAAAAAAAAAAAAATAGTATTTTAGTAATGTTCAATAGAAAAGTATTTGACATTCCCAATATCATTCCACATATCAGCTGTTATAGTAGCCTTTCACGTGTTCTTGACTATTAAAAAATGGTCCAAAGTTGTCATCTTCATTGACCAGGGATGATGACAAAGTTTCATTATCAAGTTCAACTGGAAATTCATCCAAACGACATTTTTTACGAAGAAAATTTTGTAATCCTACACAAGCTAACACTAGTTTTGCGTGTGTACTATAAGGAAATGGATGAGCTATTTTGGAAATTGTGAATCTTGGTTTAAATGTACTAAATATCCTCTCAATTACATTTCTCAAGGAAGCATGGCTAAGATTGAACAACTCTTTTTGCATTTTTAGGATCATGACCTTGACCGCCAAAATCTTGAAGATGATAATGGACACCGTGAAAAGAAGCTAAGATTGACCTCAATTTGAAGATCCACAATCTGCAAAAAATACTTACCTGAAGATAAAATACTTGTAGATTTGGGACATGTTTAAACCCTATTTTTTGAGTTAAAATGTATTTTAAAATGGTATATCGATAGAAAATGTGTATTTAAAAAAAAGTTTTAAATTTGTGTATAATATTATTTTATTGAATAATGTATGGTTGAAAAAGAAAAGAGAGAAAAATGTATTTTGAAAAAAAAAAGGAGGGGGGCAAAAAATACTTACCTGAAGATAAAATACTTGTAGATTTGGGACATGTTTAAACCCTATTTTTTGAGTTAAAATGTATTTTAAAATGGTATATCGATAGAAAATGTGTATTTAAAAAAAAGTTTTAAATTTGTGTATAATATTATTTTATTGAATAATGTATGGTTGAAAAAGAAAAGAGAGAAAATTTAGAATCATGTGTTAATCCCTCCCAACTACTAAAAGCATCTTTAAAAGATTTTATTTATAAAGAGCATTTTATACATAATAGAGAGCATATTTAAATTTAGAGAGTAATTTTTTTTATACACCCACAAGCTCTCTATTTTAATTTTTTATTTTGTTTTTCCAATTAACATTTAATAATTTCTCCACATATTGTATTTAAATATAATTTTTTTATATATCAGTGACCAATCAATTCAAATGTAATTTAAAAATTTTAAATTGTAGAGTATTGAAACTTATAATGTATTAAATGCAACCATTGTACATTAAAAATAGAGAGTCTACTTTAAAAAGTTAAATTAGAAAGTTTCTTGAAACTTATTTTTAATCATTGACTCTCTAAAAATAAAAAGTATTTTGTATTTAAAAAGTCTTTTGGAGATACCTAATCACATATATAATCTTCACAGTCCGCAAAATTGTCTATACAGTGACTTTTGGATGATTTGGAATTTATAAACATGCTTGGTGGTTTGGAGGATTAGCACATGATTCTAAGATGTTGATAGATGCTTTAACAAGGGGAAAAAGGATTTAAAGTGCCACAAGGTGTGACTTTATTATATCATTTTTCTCTTTTATATCTTATTTTATCATAATAATATATGATATAAGTTATTTTCTAAATCTATAAATATTTAATCTTCGGGTAAGTATTTTTGGTAGACATTGGGTTTTCAAAATAAAGTCAAATCTTAGCTCCTTTTCACAATGTCCGAAAAATGCGATAGAGCAGTTCAATCTTCGTCATGCTTCCTTAAGGAGCGTAGTTAAAAGGATATTTGATATAATTAAATCAATATTCGCAATTTTCAACGTAGCTCCCCCTTTTCCCTACAGTAAACATTAGAACTAGTGTTAGCTTGTGTAAGTTTACACAATTTTCTTTGTAAAGAATGATCGATTAGATGAATTCCTAGCTAAACCTGATCATGAAACTTCGCCATCTTCTTCATTTGATTAAGGTGAAGATTTTGGACTATTTTTTGATAGTCAAGAACAAGAAAGAGATAACGCTAATGCTTGGAGGGCTACTATAGCAGTTGATATATGAAATGATGTTGGGAAGATTTGATTTGATTTTTTTTATTTTTATTTTTGTTGAACATTACTAAAATGCTATTATTATTATTATTGTATTTTGTTTATTTGTTAATCTAATTGTTGTGACTTAAATTTTTTTTATGTATTTTTAAATATATTTTTATTGACATAAAAAATATGATTTAGTTGCTTTGCATTCTGAATTAGATGGGTTGTGGACGATTTAGACGTACAAGATTTTGATTAAAGTATTACACTATATATGCTCAATATTTTTTTTTTCAAGAAAGTTTTAAAATGTTTATAATGAAAGTCCACAGAAATTCATGGAAAACTTTTATAGTTTTATTATCTCTTAACAAATCCATATAAATCATTTATAAATTCCACGAAGTTCACAAAAGTTATCTACTTAGAGTCTATAAAAGTCTTTAAAAGTTTCAATTGAATCCACCCTTAAAAGTCATTCTCAATTGAATACTCCATAATATGTGGAAATTTCTAAAAAATTTCAATTGGATGTTGTGTGATTTTTTAAAAAGTCCATAAAAGTCTTTATTGAATACACCTAAACTTTTACAAAGCTTTTAAAAGTTTCAATTTAATATACATAAACTTTTTAATCTCCAAAAATCTTTAAAAGTCTCGATTGAACACAAACCCCTAGTCTCACTTTGAGGAGAATTCCTATAAAATTTTCGTTATCTTGTTTATCTATTTTCTTTACGTGATTTTAAATTGATGCTATTAAGCCCCCACCGAATTACATACTCTGTCTAGGTGATTTTAACATGGCATTAAATGATTGGTCAAATTAAATAACTAGCTTAATTTCACACTTCATTCAACCTATCATCTAATACCATCTAAATTGGGGTTTTAACCCCAGTAAAACTACATAACATTATTCTCAACAGTTACATGTATGGAAGGAAGGTGAATTACAAGATGCCATCAACATCATATCCATAGGCAAGTTATATACGAAGATGAGTCGTCACTGGTGGCGGCATTGGTGATGTGCGGTGGACAATATGAGGCTTGTTTTCATTTATTTTTCTTCCTTTTATTTAGATTATTTATGATTTTATCTTTTATGAAAGTCTATCTAAGTAAAGATTTAACAGAATTTTGGGAAGTTTCAGCTGCGCACTTGTTCTCAAAATTTGATAGTCAACTTGCTTCTTTTAGTAAGTTGGAGATAAAATTGCAACTCATCATAAGATTGGGGGACAAATTTTGGAATTTTCTAAATATGTTGCTAGAAATAGGGGATATCTCGGATAAATTAGGAACGAGAAGTTATTTCTCACGAAAAAATCCCCTCTGAAAATGAATTTCGCTCGTTCAAAAGTTGCAGCAGAGGAATAAGAAGAAAAAGATCGGCCCCTGAAAAGTGATCCATCCAACCTATAATACAGCCATTACCAAGCACAGACACGGTGAGACCAAACTGAACCCTCCAATTTTTCAAATTTAAAATACCATTATAATTTATTAAATTCTTTTGCAACTTGCGGAAATTGACGTAGAGGCCGATATGAATGTGATTGTGAGTGTGTTGCTTGCAACATTTTTTTTTAAAAATAAATTTGTGCGTTCTCGATTAATTTGCGGATTTATGCCATTTTAGGTTTCGAGAAGGCATCAAAGGGAAGATCACGGTGTAGTATATAATCACTATGCTGTTTTAAATTTATCTGTTAATTTTGATAGTAGCAGGAGGTAATTGTTGTGATTTAATTATAAATAAGTATAATCTTTTGCTATTACTGAAGTCTTAAACTTCTTGAGTTATGATTCTAATTTTCAGTTTGCGCAAATTGTCACCATAAATTATCTGACATATCAATGTTGGTTAATGAATTTTAATCATCACAATAGAAAATTAATTTTCCTTTGAAGATTAAAATCATGTTTAAGGATTTTAGTGATCTTGAGATCATTGGATTATAAAATCCTTACACATAGAAAGGGGAGAAGATAACCTTTTGAAAGAGCTATTAATAGCCTAGCCAATTGCTTCCTTCTTTAGATTTTCTCCTTTGTTCTCCACCAGGTGTAATTCCTTTTTGGGGAAAGTGAAAAGCGGTTAACTCTAATTCTCATTCAAAATATGCATATTTATAACGCCTTATTAGGGTTTGGAAATTGCACAAATTTCCTTGGACTTTATTGCAGTAGGTCAATTAAGTCACACCCCTTTTATTGGAGCTTAGAGAGAGACCTAATTGGACTGATATGACCCAAGCTCCAATAGATGTTTTCAATTGGGTCAACTCTTGACTAATTGAAATATATCTATTAATCCCGACTTATTCTACCGAAAAATCGAGATTGCACTCTCAAATCGAGTGATAGTTATAGAAGCAAATTATGATCAATAACAATATCTCTGATTATTGTTCCACAAGTCAATCCCCATTTGACCGTTAATATGTTGAAACTGGCAAAATGACCGTTCTGCCCTTCAACATGTATTACCCTCTAAGTCTCATTTTCATACGGCAAATTTGTTGTAATCAAATCACAATGCAAAGTCCAACGATTTCATCGTCGACCTACTAAGTTCAAATTCAATTTGCCTAGGAAAATACCTTAGAGTGACGATCGTCTCATCTCAATAATTAATGGATTCCAATATTGTAAGGATATAATCTCTAATTGTTTCGGCCCGATTCCCAAAGTACCGAGATCAATCTTCTATTTAAGACTTCACTCATTGGTACCTCAAAGAACTTGAACTAGCAATCAAAGGTACATTACTCACTTAGGATTTAGGTGACCTGTTTGATAATCAAGTAGAGTCTCATTTCAAACGGTTACAAATGAGTCATCTACGCGGTCCCGTTCAATGTACATCGAAACACATTATTATTCCTATTTCAAGATCTAGACAAATCTTAATAAGAACAATACAATCTTATCAACATAAAGCGTCCAACTTTATGAACGACATAATTTTGATCACATCACAAATTGTGTCTTACTATACCCGATCCATCGACTATACAATTTGTGACGTCCTATATGATCATGGAACTTTAGACAATCACTTCAAATTATAACACGCAAATAAACGAACGTAAATTCATAATGTAATTTTACAGAACACTACTCGAAAAATGGGCGTCAAACTAACAATCAAACAACCATGAAACATTATGAAAACTTATACAGTATCACACAACTCATTCACACACAACATATCCAAATTTCAAGATTTATCTCATCTGTTTAGTTAGTCAAATTGATCGATGAAGTAATGTGTAAACAATTTCTGGGTAACATTGTCGCAGTTCATGAAAATGAGCACAACTAATTCTACAATTGGCTGATCGTCATGATTCCAAGTTTTCATGGACAAAAAACTTGCTAGGTTTTCAAACCCAACTGATTTCATCTAGAAACTCATTTATGCACTTCGGGGTAACTGGTTGAAGTAGAAATCACGAATCTGGAGAACTGGACAGTGTGCAACATTTACATTTTAAAACAAAGTCTAAACTTCGCAAGCACAGTATCAACAAAATACAAGGTTACAAACTTCTATAAAATACATAATTAAATACATAACATAAACCAAGGTCCTTAATCCGTCAAATATCATAATTAAATAATAAAAATCCAGCAACTAATTAAACATGCAAACGAGGAATTGAAACCAGGTTCTACTCGAATTTTAATCTTTGATCATTGGTCCATTGGTACCGCCACTCCATTTCCCGGCCATCCAAGATGTTTAAACCTGAAATTTGTTAATGAGAAGGATGAGTTTTGAAAAATACACAATTAGATACATGCACACCACTTATAAGATAAAAATTATAGATCGGATACATTATTTTCCTTAGAGAAGCAAAACCATGAATAACAACTCTTTACAAACGCTGCAAATCTTACAACCTGGAGGTTAACATAAATTCTCCTTGTCCTGAAGAATCGTCTGATGGTTATCCTAGAGTTTAAATAGGTTGTCCCAAAGGACCATTAGTATCAATGAATGATTATAAATTACCATGAATGAAAAGGACATCTACTTGTAAATAAGTATCTCACCTTAGTCTTTAAAATTGTTATTTTGAAGAATAAAATCAGGTCTTGTGCTTCTTTTAACAGCCCCGAAGACCTTGTACTCTGTGCATTCTTGCTGCTCTAAATTAATGGAAAAATGATAGGGGGAGGCATGTGTGAGATAGATCCAAGAGGAAGAGGAATCTTGTGTGTGTTCTTGTGCGCTTGCTTTGTGAATGGTTTAGAGGATTTGGGGCTTGTATATGTATATAGAAGTGTGTGTTATTGTTTTGTGAATGATTAAGTGTTTGTATGTGTTTAGGAGTGAAAAGAGAGGGAGGGTCGTGAGAAAGAGGGGCTGAGCTTGTGGGTGTATTGTGTGCGGATGTGTGTCGTGTAGGGTAGAGAGAGAGAGAGAGAGTGGTTTTGATGTAGCATTACATAAACACAAACACAGCAGAAGCAGTCACATAGGGAGAAGAAGAAACCAGAAAAGGAAAGAGGAAGAAGAAGGAGAGAAGGGAAGAAGTGGGCGGTGGAAAGGAAGGAGATGTCTGCAACACTCAACGTCAATTCATTCTATCATATCTCTGTCTATTCTTGCACAAAGGGCTATATATATATATCTAAGACACAAAACATAAAAAGGGCTTGGGCCAGCCCAGTTACATAATATAAGCCCAAAGCAAAATAAAAAGGCTTGGGCCAGCCTACTTAAACTAATAAAATATAAAATAAATAGCCCACAAGTAGAAATCCAAAATAGGTTGTCAAGTTTAGTCCGGTTGGAGTGTAAGTTGAGCGGAAAAGGAGTTCTTTTTGGGTTGGGAAAGAGAATGAAGGAATTCTAATATATGTAGGTTTTTAAGAGTTTTCCTAGTTGGCATAGGATTAAGAGCTGTACTTGAATTAGTATTTTTATTCTATTATCTTAAAAATATATATTTAGGGCATGTTTGAGCCATATTATTCTAAAAAAATGTATTCTTAAACTGTGATTTCATATCATTTCAATCACACATTTTTTAATAAAATAATATTACACGCAAATAAAAAACTTTTCCTTATTTTTTAACCACACATTTCCCATCAATACACTATTCAAGAATGCATTATTACCAAAATAATGTGGCTCAAACACTCCCTTATACTATTTTTATCTCTTTACGCAACCATAAAACATTTCTTTTCTTAATTTTTGGGCTTAAATGGCTGACTACACTAAGTATGTGAGTTGTGCCCTCTTTCGCTCTACTGGACTAGAATGATGCACTTATTATTGAAATAAGTTTCGACAATATCATTTCTTATGCATATGTACAAATAATCAAGGTATTATTGGCATCACCTAAAAATAATCCCTTTTAAGCTCTCTAAGCCAACGCTTAAACTAACGATGACTCCACTTTCTACAACTATAATAATGATCCTATTAGCCATTTGTCTTGTCACTTGAGAAGTCGTGGTTGGCTTGCTGCCATGCTACAATCGCCATTGGAAACTCAATAAAGAATCTCATCTGCCATTAAACTCTATAATTTTCACTTTAGAACCCATTTACAATTGTCATGAGTTGTCCCTTTTGAAATTGTTTTGGCTACCTAGGAACTAGGGGAGCAAAATAATTGGAACCATTGACAGGTGAAGTTCACCCGGTCGGACTGTAGCAAACTCCCTTTTTGCCTATTATCAGGCTATTGTATATTTAGCAACAACCTTATCTTGCTGGGATGTTGCTCCTCTAGCTGCAATGTGCCTTGTTCCCACCTCTTGCACCAGACTTAAATGCATCAACACCTTTGTTGTCGACGGCAGACCGTGTCAATTCGTTGCATGAACAATTAATTTGTTATTGCACTTGTGTTATCTTCTTTGAACCCTTCATCCATGGTAGAATTGTGAGATTTTAGTAGCCTTGTTGGTGTGGCATCTCGATAAGGATCTCAAACTCTGCTCTAATAGTAAATAATTTAGCGGAAACTTACGAAGTGCACAAACTTGAGATTAACTACGTTTGTTGATTCTTTATGAATACCATGAGTCATAGTACTTGAGTTTTAAAGAAAACATAAAAACGAAATAAAGACATTTACGCCCGTGATAATCAAATAGCCAAAGTATGGAAAAAATAAGATAGTTGTGACCCTTCAACACCTCCTAGCGATGCCGTGCCTTCTCTCCATCCTTGGGTAGTCTAGTCAAGCCTCAAATGTGCGGATCATGACTTTAGTTGCAACAAATATGTTGATGATTCTCTCAAAGATCATGTTAGTAGTAATTGATATCGAGAATTCAGGATGTTTCCTCTTTAATAATATATTACAACTTTTTACTTGATTCCTAATTTGAGAATCTATTATTTCCTAATTATAACTCTATTGTTGTTTTTATTTTTTAAGATTGCAAGTTAGACTTTATATTTTGATAATTTGTTTTACTATGAATTTTCAAGGAGAGTTATGGTTTATTATAAGTCTATTTTTTTTTCTTTTAATTATTTTATTGGTTTGTTTTAAGGCTTAAGCCTCCCGTGGCAATACTCCTTGGTCCCCTATTGTTTAAACGTTAGATTCAAATAATTGATTTGAGAATAAAACACCCAGAAATCATTTAACATTGTACCCTCAAATTGATTTTACACACTATTTTATTCTTCCAAGTTTTGCATTCTCAATTTTGTCTTATTTTGTATTCTCTAAGCTCCAATTCTTTTTATTCTTTGTGCAAGTCACAAGTTTTATAGAAAACTGCAAATCTTTCTTTTAATTTCTCTTTCCTCGTATGAATTATACAAATCTTCACCTGATAATTTTTGCTCATAATACGATGAGCAAAATGTTGGCTAGGTGGAAGCTGGAGGGATAGCTCATGAATTTACATTTTACTATGAAGATTAAATTCAATGATTTCACAAGTAAAGTATTGGATTTTGCTCCTTATTGTTCTCTTAGATTGCTTTCCTGGAGTTTATGACCACCTTGTATTTGTAGAGTTCTGTAGTTTGCTTAACGTCTTTGGGGACAGTGATTTGTCTTTTCAATTTACTTTTATTTCGGTTACTGTATTGGGTAACACGCCCTTCTGATTTTTTTGTCTCCATTGGTTGTGTGACTCGTTGGTAGGCTCCTTATTGGACTTGTATGTCGCGCTGCACTGGTTAGGGCATCTCCTCTCTCTAATTGCTAATTGACGTGTTTATCTGCCTTTTGCTTATCTGATACACTGACAGTTTTTAATGATTACGTTGGGTGCCAATGTGGTGTCTCTCCTGCTACACTTCGAGAATCAAGTCAATAGAATACTGAGGCAAGTTCTCTAGATTATTATTTTATCTTGCATGCATGAGACATGACTATTTACAGGGATGAGAGAGTTAGGGGTGCTCTCGGTCTCCTTGATGTTGGAGAACTTTCTCTGGTAGCGGTGCAGCAGTTATTTGAGGCCATTACATCTACTGCACTTCCTCTGGTTCTGTATCTCTGGGGATTTTGTCATTTCTGATTCTGTGTTATCTTTTTATTTACTTAATAAAAGGAGTCTTATTGGATGTTTGATGGTATTGGTTTGGCCAAACTTTTGTATGTGGGCTTGCCTCTCAGCCAATAATGAAAAGGTGCAGCCAATGATGAAAAGGTGCCTAGCCGCTTTGCTCATCCAATTTGCCATCCCTACTTGTTCGAGATGTTTATGGTCAATCAGACATGATTCCCTCTGATATCACATATAACTTATTCTTTGAGCCGTAAACTTGGCTATCTTGTTCTTTCTCTTTACATGGACATCCTTTGTAATGTTCGAACCCTCTTTGTCCAATTACATGTGACATGTCAAATTACTTGTTTACATTTTAGCTTTTGGTTGTCATTGGCTGCTATGAATATCTTTGGATTTGGCCTCAAACATAGTTGTAATTCTGAGATGTTACTCTAGAAAACATCCAAACTTCAATCCTATACCTATAGCTCGTCAGTAACTGACTCTTTCTCCACACCTTTTTTGTGCTGTACTTGATTTGAGGCGAAAAAGTTGGTTTCACGTTATCTTGAGAAGAAAATAATGTGGGATGGTATCAATATGGGACCAGTGAGTTAAGAGATGCTGCAAATGAAAGGAACTATGGTCCTGTATTCGGGTTTTATTGAAATATGGATTTGTGCTTTTGGGATGACAAGTAGAAATATATCTGTAGAGGAATCTTAAAACCCTGGATTTTGGATTCTTTACACTTGTCTCGTGTATGTTCGATTAAGAAGAGTACTGTGATAACATGGACAACACCCCCTATCTTAGGAAAGCACCACCTGATCCATTGTATATTCAAAATATAGATCATATATTCTAGCTCTGATGGTTTCCATTAGCCATAATCATCTAATTCTTTCTAGAGGATCAAGTATGATTACATTCTTGTTACTTCTTTAGTTCTCCACTCTTTTTGTAATTTTTAATTTAAAATATAATCTTGTCGATGATTATTAGTAATCATTTGTCATTTCTTTGGGTTTTCTGCTCCATATACTCACGTATACAGGAGGCATTTTTTAGAATTTTTCTACCAAGTCTGGGTCTTGTTAGTTTCTTGTGCTTAACCTATGCGAACCACATGCTAGATTTTCTGCTTATGCTTTCCTTTTTTCTGCTTAACCAATGCGACTCATGTAAAAGGGAACAGCCACACCTTTTTAATAGTATTTCCTTTATCACATCCTGTGTGATCGATACAGCCTCAATAACACGTATATCTTTATTTGTCTCTTGTTACTGTACCTGTCCCATCTTGTGATAAATTTGCTCTTCCGGTGGACGTGAAACTGGGTTGTGTTGTAGCCAAAATCTGTCAATTGATGTTATTTCGATTGAACTTGGCTGTCTTGAAAAAAGAATGTGCCCTGCAAAAATCAAGTGTACTCAGAGGTCCTATTTGATAGTCTTGTTCAGGCTTTATTAATAGTTCTGTTTAGATTTTAACTGGCAGAATCTTATTTCGTTTTAAAGTTAGCTATTAAAATGGAGAAGGGTGGTAAATCACTTATCACTTGATTAATAAGTTTTTACCTTACTTGGATGAGATAGTGAGAAGCTGTATTTTATTCATAACAGTTTTGCATGACAGTGCACACTGTTTTGAATCTTTTTATTAAACCACTGTATCACAGCAACTATTAGTCTATCCACCATAATTTTTGTGTTGTACCTATTGTATTTTGGGTTTCATTAAAGTGCTGTAGAAAAATAAATTACCATTAGATATCTTTGCCCAACAAGATGCTGGCTTGTTCGGGTTCACCAATCCTGGAATCCTACTGTTCCTTGAGCTTTGGATCAAATTGCTCATTTGAGTTTTTTGGACTATGATACTATATTAAGTCTTGATTTCCATCTTAAAATATCAATCTTGTCAAAAGGAGTATCTTAAGCCCTTATATGTTGATTGTTGGTTTCTTATCTAGGGGATGTGGGATTTTACCTTTTCGCATTGAGGAATCGATCAAAAATATTTTCAAGCTAAAGTATTGAAGAAGATATAGCTCTTTAGGGTAATCTCTTCACATTTGTAATGTGGAACCGCTTCTAAGCAAGTCATTTATAGTTATATCCCTTGAATTAGTTAAACGAAGTGTTCTTATATTACCTTCTACTTCATGCATAAACATTGTGTGCGCCGCTGGGGAGGTACGAACAAAATCTTACATTGACCAGACATGGGTAGATAATATGGTTATTAGGGAATTAGACTAATCAGCATAGTATGTTAACATTTTGGTTGGAATTTAAAAAATATAATAAATATTATATAATTAAAAAAACATTTATCAAAGCGTATTAGAGGGTATCCAAGTTTAAATATGTATCGGATACGGGTACGTAATGAGTTTACAAGTATTCATGTCTCTTAAATGAGGGCTAGTCTCCAAACTTAGCACGTGGATAGACAAGGTAAATTCTAGAGGTGAACGCGGTTTGGTTTGGGCGATTTGCACTATATTTTGAACTCAAACCATTTTATGCAGTTTGAAAATTTTTCAAACCAAATCAAACCATTTTATTTACCTAACCAAATCAAACCATAATTTGCGATTTGGTTCGATTTTAATTCGTGGTTTACCTATCGACATTATAGTAATATATTTAACATAAGTTAAATATAAGTTTAAACGAAAATTTATAATGTTAAATGTTATACGACATTCATATTTACCATGAAACTTATGAATAAATTGTTTTCAAAGTTGGTTGCTAAAATATGTTAATAGAACAGATACATCTTTCTTCATTTTTATTTACATTTTCTTGTTTGACATTCATATTTTTATATGGCGGTTAGTAAAGGTCGAGTTACATTCTGCTGTTATAGTTTGGTTAAAACTCTTTTCGTCTTGCTAGTGAGATGTTAAATAAGGATTGAACGAGATATGTTTAGATGTATAAAGATTGATAGAGTTTCGACTTATTGAGAATTGACGAATTTCATCCTCTAACTACTTTATGAAAATAGAAGGTAGTAGTACTAGTTAGGGAACTTTAACATTTCCACATAATCAATACGCACCGTCCTTCGTTCTTTCTAAATCACAAAAAAGTTCATTAATCATCTAGGCACACAAACATTCATTTTTCTATCCAAACCACAACTCACGGGTGTATAATAAGTTTAAAAAAAAAAAAAAAAACAAAAGAAGAACAATGGAAAAATGGCTTGAATAAGAATCTGAGACTCACTGAAAGAGAAGAGAGAGAGACGATTCAGGTAGAAATTAGTAGACTAACAGACAAATGTGACTGACGATTCGTTTAGTAGTGGCAAACAATCGTCAAATGTTAGAGAAATGAGAGTTTATGTTAGGGTTTCTGAAACTTTGGACGTGATTCGTTGATGTAGTTTTGTTGAATTATGATTTAGATTGTTGAAAATATATGTTTTTTTTTTCATTCATATGATTTTGGAATAGTTTTAATTTAGTTTAAATATCGGGTGAAGACATGTGTTGTGAACCTATTAAATCATAGATATATCGGGTGAGGACATGTGTTGTGAACCTATTAGATCATAGGCCAATAATGATGAACTTAATTTACTTTCTATAATTATTTCAACATGCTGGTTGTAATTTGTATTGCTAAATTGATTTTTTATTTTTATTTTTTTAAAAGTGAAATTGTAAAATTTTTAAGTTAATAAAATTAATTTTTTAATTATAAAATTAAAAAACGGTTTGGTTCGATTTTTTGTGGTTTTTGAAAATCGAAATCTAAACCAAACTATTTTGAAACGGTTTGATTCGATTTGATGGAAAAGAAAACTGGACCCTAGCCAACGGTTTCAACTCAACGATTTTGGTTCGATTTGCTGTTTCGTGGTTTTTTTTGTGCAGCCCTATTAAATTCTCAACAGATGATAGGCCTGCCCCAAGTTGGATCATGATGGCGAAAATCAGTGGTTAGCTCTCAAGATGGTAATGCTAACATAAGGCAGTGGCCGCTAATGCAGTGGAGAATTGGAATTTGATGGAATACATGATCCTTCTTGGTATTAAGAAGAGGGACAGATAGATTATTGCTTGAGGATGGTAGATATGATGTGATACTTTACTTGAGGAGGGATTTTTGTGAAAGTGGGGCCAAAATCCCACGTCGGCTAGACATAGGATGGATATTTTTATAAGGGAATTGGGCTACTCCATCTAATCGTTAACCTTTGGGATGAAACCGCAGGTTTGAACAAGAGTTCATAATTGAATAATAACTGTATATGTGTGTTGTTATCTCTCCCTCTTGTCCTTGTTTTCTTTTATTATTATTATTATTTTCCATTCTGTTGTGGTTTTTTCTTTTTCCTCCTTGGATTTAATTCAGCTCGTGAACACATTTAATTATGGAAGTTTGCATTCATCATCTGCATCTGGTTTTGTCTATTTCTAGACAGAACTACTAACTTTTCGAAATGCTTGGTTGCATGTGTTTTCTTTTTCTTTCCTTTCTTTGTACAAGGAAACGTTGCATCGCCTCTTTCTTTTGAAGATATTATCCCTCAGAAATTGTTCGAGCCTAAAAAAACTAAGGGTGTGTTTGAGCCCCTTTGATTTTGAAAAATGTATTATGGAATAGTAGAATGATGGAGAATGTGTGGATAAAAAAATGATGGAGAATGTGTGGATAAAAAAGAAGGAAATTTTTTAAATTTGCCTGTAATATTATTTTACTGAAAAATGTGTGATTGAAAATGAGTGTTGTAGAAAAAATAATGGGTGACAAACAAGAGCTATGTATATTCAAAAAACCATATTTGTATTTCCCTTCTGTAGCTATTCTCGGACAATGATTTCTTGATTTGTTGACATGCTAGATGAAGGGATCGAGCAAGGATCATCTTTCACGTCTTGGTTAATTTCGGTTTCCATTTGGTGAGGGCTTAATTTAGAGCATCATATCGTTGTATTACTATGCTGTACAATTGTGTAATTCAATGACTTGTGTCGTGTTTGGTGTAAATTGAATTGTATTAATTACTTAGCCTATGTTGGCTCATGTTTGTGAACAATCAACTCACTTTTTTATACACATTTTTAAAAACTTAGAAGTAGCATCCACTTGTCTACCACTTATTTATATCTATTTATAATCGAAATTATTTATGAATACTTCTTAAACGTGATCTTAATTTTAAATGGTGAACATTTTGCAACTTGCTTATAGAGATGGATACAAACATGCATATACATGTTAGGGAGGTTTTGACTACAAGATCTAAATATGATTGGGTTTCTGTTTATGTTCATCTCTGAAATATCCCACAAAGGTATAATAATTATTTGAATGTTGGTGGATTTCTTCATATGCGTTGTCCGAAGACTCAATGATTATTTGTTCGTCGAAACCAAAAGTAAAAATTTTGGTGGATAGGAATTCCATAAAACTTCTTTCGAAGAATGGTCAGACCAGTACATTTCTTAAGAACAATAGCTACAATGTTGCATCTTTGTGACTATTGCAGGTGGGGGTGTCTGTTGCGGCAGCTGTACTTGTTAAATTGACCGAAGAAATAAAAGACAGAAACGTCTCTATAAAATTTTAAGATAATATTGTTTTTTTATTTTATTTGCCAAAAAGAAGAGGAAGATTCAGTATTTTTTTTATTTTTCTGTTGCTATATTACTTTATTTTATTCTCTGTATTGTCAACTTCATTTGAGCTTTGTTGGAAACAATCACTTCCTGCCTTCCCATGATCGCATGCACATCAAACGAACACAACTTTCATTAGATGTTTGAAACTAAACAAAATTGAACATAAAGCAGTCCCCTTCTTTTTTTTATTTTTTATTTTTATGACTAGGGTATCCAAGCTTCGCTCGATTGATCTTGAGTAGTGACAGTCTTTTTCCCTAGTTTGTGATTTGAATAAATCGGATGCAATAATAGTTTACACACTTGGGTTGGGCATTTATGAAGCAATTCTCTTCCCTATGGATTCTCTTTACGACTTGCGAATTGGACCCTTGGAAATTCGAACCTCCGATACTCCATAAAGAACTTTTGTGCTTTACAATTGTGCTATGCCCATGGGGGAATGTAAAAGCGATCTTGACAAAGGTTGAGATGGGTTTTAGTTATGGATTAAATGAATAATCTGTATTATTGAACCGTAATTAACAATGAGAAATGGGAAAAATGGAAGCAAGAAAAACACGACTTAATGTGCTTCTCAAAATGATAGTTACGGGCACTCGGTGGTGTTGTAGAGTTACACTATATTATTTAAAAATAGAATTAATATGTACTTCAAATTCAACATTAGTTGAATTTCAAATTTTAGTGGGATTGAACAATCTTGATTCTTATTGAGTTCTAAATCATCTCGACTGAGGTGGAGTCAAGCAATTTTCAAACATCTCAAGTCCTTTTTTGCCTGATTCAGATAAAAATGAAGAGCAACAGTTCAATCATACGCATATTATTGGGACTTACGCTATTCTATGAAAAATATAATTTGAGATCTTGTTTTAGGAGAGATTTTTTTTAAAATTATTTTCCTCCAAAATCATCTTCAACGACATTTAATAGAATCCATAATTTTCTTTCTATTTTTTAACCAAATATGTTATAATTGAAAAAGTCTCTCAAACCAGCTCTGTAATGGAATGGTAGTCTTTAAACAATGTATTTTGTAAGCGAACAAGCCTACTTGAGCCCCCATCTACAGCATCTTCGAGCAAGTAAAAATTTCGCTTGAACTTGTACTAATTGAATCTTGAGTCGAGTTCGGGGTTGATAATGGGACAAATATAAAAAAGTAGAATAATGTTACTTGTACATAAGGAGTTTCCTAATGGTTTAAACATATACAGATGATTTGTCAAAAATAGAGTGGATATTTTTTTTCTTATTTGGTGGAAGTTCTGATCCAATCATATTTTGTCATCATGTGTATATAAACCACATTTAGCACAATCGAAAAAGCTAAGTACCTTAATTTTTTACGACTAATCATCTACCTACAAAATGCAATACTACAGCTTAAAGTCACGGGCACGCATCAATAAACCTAATAGATTGAAAGTTTGACATTAACAACTAAAATAATCCCACAAAGCTCTAAAATTTTCAAAGATTTTAAGGGTCATTTAAGATCACAGATTTTTATACAATCAGCAACCCACAAATTCCGAATAACTCTTCTATCTAGACCAGATTTGGTCTTACCAATGTCTAGTCGAGCTTCAAAGATTCATTAGTTTGCACACTGTGATGGCAATCTTGGGTGGTTATGTTCCCCTTCATAAGTGACTATTAGCATTGAAGGTTCTTCCAAGCATCTCTCCACATGTTTCCTTGCAGGACAGCCTCTTATGCTACTGCATTTATAGTATCCTCTGCAGAAATGAATGATGAATCAGTGCAACATTGAAATTTAAGACGTTCGAGCTTTCTTGAACTAAATAAGAACTAGAAGTTCCAAAATGCAGCGTCGTGCACCAAGAAAATTGAGACAATATTAAGAAAGACAAGAAATTGACAAATCTAAAATAAAAATGTTACCATCTGATTTTAGGTGGATAACAAACAATACAGGTTTATATTACTAATCAATATCAGAATCCATAAATAAGCCCATATTCTTGCAATTGAATTGAAACGACTCAAAAATCTCCATGAATTTAACTCAACCCAACTGCACCCAAAGCCACTCCCCAATAAAAGAAAGCTAACAAACAACTAAAATAAGGAAACCTAAAAAACAGAGCTCTACCAATCCAAGCAATTCTTGCTTGCTAGTTGCTAGAAGGCCTGCGTGTTACTATCACACAATTATAAACTCACATTCAATAGAAGAGTGTAAAAAGTTATGACCAAATATCGAGTGTGCTAATTATACTTTTGAATTGAAATTTTTTGGTGTATCGTATGAGATAATAGTCGGGGTGTTTTGCAAGTAATCAGTGGCAAGTTGAGTTCGCAGTAGGTTACTGATACCTGGGATGAGGAGAGCCCTTAATTGGCTTCTGGCCATATTTTCTCCAGGAATACTCGTCTGGTGGTATATCAGCTAGCTTGTTGCTTATGGCAGGTACTTTGATAGATCTTTTTACCCTGTGCTTCCTGTTAGAGAGTAGCAATGAACGAGCAGCGGTTGTAAGATATACTATGTCGAGCAATGATAACGTGGATTGGAATAAATAAAAAGCTAAAAATAAGCACCTCTTCTTCGAGCAGTGGCATCTGCCACTGCTTCCACATTTCAAACTTCCATCTTCTCCCCTAACCGAGCACCTTCTCTTGTGTTGATATGAGCTCTGATCCGCTGATCGAGCTGCCCCAATTAAATGAAAGGCATTTCCATCCAAATTAGCCGCACTCCCATCCATACTCAACGAAGAGATAAAGGACCTAGTTGACGACATGGTTGGGGTGCAGTTCAAGCCATCAAAATTCAGACTAATGCCACTATTACTACGCCGATACATCATTTCAGCTTGCTGTTTCAACTTCTGCTGCTGAAGATGGAGAAAATGATAATTCGATATCGGCGTCTTTTGAGCAAGTTGAAGGGCGGTTTTTCCATGTGAGCTCAAATCCGAAGAAGGGTTTCCTGATGTGAGAACACTCCGGATATTGGATCCCGTTTCTTGAAGCGGGTTCGCATCAACGGAGTTGATTTGAAGGATCGGAAGGCGTTTCGGCTGTTCATCCACTCTACATATTGGGTTTTCTAGAAATATGTTTTGGGGGAAAAGGCCTTGAATTTTCTTGACTTTCCTCACTCTAGCATGACCACAACTAGAATTAAGAAGAGATGCAACTTTCTTGAACTTATTTACGGCCTCGCCTGTTTGCTCAACTAAATTCCTAAACTGATTCTGATCCTGGGGCTGAACCAAAAGACTGAGCACTCTATGGCAACTCTCCACAGCTGCACTATTTGCCTTGACAACTTCCTCCATTTCACACAATCAACACCCCCAAAAAAAGCTAGAAAAGTTAACTTAAAAAAAGAAAAATAAAAGCAAACGAGCTAAAATCCCATAATTCCAATACCCAGAAACATCAAATTCAAAGGAAAAAAACCTCCAACTCTACTGATTCAATAGATCTTCAACTGTCCATAGGAGGCAAAATCCCAAAAAAAACCCAACATGAAACCCCATTTTAGCAAGATATTCTAGCAAAAACACAAGATCATGATCTTCAATAGGGCAATGTGAAGATCAATCAAAAGCAAGAAAAACCCATGTAAAATCAAATGCTAAACTTGAATTTGTAAAGGGGAAAACAAAAATTCAACACACAGAAGAACAAAAGTAAGGAAAAAAGTCTCAAATGACGGACCTTTAATTCGACTTCTTGGTTGCTATCAAACCCTAGATTCTTTCAATCTCCGTAAGAGAGAGAGAGAAGAATAGATTGAAAAGTGTGAAAGGAAAGACTTTGCTTTGCCTTAGAAGAAAATTCACACCACACCACCCCCAAAAAAATACAAAGATGCAACCTTAAAAAAATATAAACACTAATACTGAGTTTACTACTGCTTCTTCAAATTATTAGTATGTATGATATATCTATATATATTTTATGTTAGAGAGAGAAATCCAATAACATTAGAGAGGTGGGAGGCGCATTAAAAATTCACCTGCGCACTACCAGAGAAACTGAGAAACGAAACTGCCGTCTACGTCACATATTTCAAACTGGGACCCACTTTAGACTAGGTTATTCTTTCTGCTTTTTTTTGGTAATAGTATTTGCTTATTTTAAGGCTTATTATCACAAGATAACTCCACATTTGATGTCTAGTGTGCAAAATATTTCTACATTTCAAATTCCTGTATTTTCATCCTTTTTTTCACATTTTATTGTGAAAAATATCATTTTTCTCAATTTCCATATATTTTCTCAATAAATATCTGTAAAATGATAAATCTAGACTCTTATTTAAATAAAAGGAAAGAAAAAATAAAGAATGGGCCCAAAATTTTCAAAAAATTATAAATGAATTCCAAACAAATAATTAAAAATCAACACTAAAAAGACGAAAAATAACTTCATCTTTTCTACAGTGTCATCGCTGTGTTCTCTATCTCTTCCATGTAACTCTATCTGCAATTACATTTTTGCTTTAAAGCAGAAATGCAGAATTGCATATTCACAATTATAGGTGATGTTAATGTTGATATTTATCAAGTGATATGTTCAAATAACAAAATCAAACATATAACTTTTTCACAGGTTGTTTCTCATAGAAACATCATAAATTTTGAGGTATATTAAGATGAAATTGATAGAAGTCCATTGTTGTAGCAAATACAGCGTAATGTAATGAAATTGGAATGGGTAGTCCGCGATGGTGGAAACCGTTGCCAACGTCGAAAAAAGGCAACTTGTTCTGAATGACCAACTGCATTTTTTCTTGATTTTGACCATATAATTTTGTTGTTTGTTCAATTAGTTTTATGGAAAAGTGTTTGGTGGTTGATGACAGTTGTTTATGGTGTGAGCTCCGGTGCTTTAGGTGGTGGTTGGTGAGATGAAGGCCGACAGTTCCACGAAATCTCCAAAATAACGAGTTATCGGGGTGGGTGAAGAAGATGAAGTTATTTTTTTTTTGTTTTGATTGTTAATTATTTGTTTGGGACTCATTTGTAATTTTTTTTAAAATTTTGGGCCTATTCTTTATTTTTTTGTTTTATTTAAATAATAGAGTATATTTGTCATTTTACAGATTTTTATTGAGAAAATGGAAGAAAATTGAGGAAAATAATATTTTTAACGATAAAACGTGGAAATTGGGGTGAAAATACAAAAATTTGAAACGTAGGATTTTGTTGCATGCTAAAAACCAAACGTAGTCATGTTTGGTGCTCACAATCCCTTATATTAATACTAACATTTGCTTACTTTTGCATTAGCCTTCGCTTATTCCAATATATAGGAATTATGTCTTTTCCTTTGCTTTCAAGAGCATCTCCTACGACTTAGTCAAACTACTATACTACGTTAAACGAAATATATAATATTTTAATAGATTATTACATAGCTTTTTTCTTTTTTCCAAATTAGAGTCGAGGTCTCCCATTATGGTCTCAGTTTTTTATTTTTAGCCATAGTTAAATTCTCGTGAAGATTTGTGTCCAAGAAGTATATTGAAGTTAGAGTAATCCTATTGGAATTAAACTTGTGGTACATCCGGGGGTATCGAAGCGTATACCTAATGGACACGCGACGACCCTCGGTTGGAGGAAGCGCTTGTCCCACATGTGCTTCCTCCAATGGGAGGTCATCATGTGTCCATTAGGTACACACTTCGATACCTCTCGATATAACGATAGCATTATCGATCATATTATGTATGTAATCATTTACAAATTGATGACATCGCATTATATTAGAATTTAATTGATTTTATTTTTTCATTTTTTTTCCCTTCTCTCTTTCGAACAATTTTCTTTCTCTATGCATCAATTTGTAAAAAGTCAAAATTACCCTTCAAAAGAGAGATGAAAATACAGAAATAATTTGTCTTTCTAGAAAAAAAAATCTTTTTTGAAATTAATGTTTATTGGAAATTACCAATAATGTAATATTTGAATTGGTATTTTGGGCTTTTGGCTGTCTTTTTTTGTTTTTGAATTTTTCTATTTCTTTTTTTAATTTCATGCCCTTCGGCGTAAGTTTTTATCAAAATGTTGGTCAAAAGTGGGACCCGAAGAGATAGCCGTTACAAATGAGCCGGTGGGTCCCAGCAACGTGTAAAACGCACTGGCGAAAAGCATACACGTAGGACAACGTCTGATTCATTTGCCACTCTTGGCGTGTTAACGTACGCCTGGGGTGGATAGGGTTAGGTTAAAGCCTGACGAAACATGGGGTCCACTTGTTTGGAAAATTCGTTGACTTAAGAAAGCACGCCTCCCCCTCTTTCTCTCTCTAAAGTTCATGTTTGGCAAAGCTTATAATTATTTATAAGCTGATTAAACATTAGTTAAACCCTTTCTTACTTACCTCGCCTCTTGACTCGTATTTTGTTTGCTCATTTGTTAATGTTATTTAGCACTATTAAAATTATAATTTCAGGTACTATTGTGACATTAAAGAAATTATTTCATTTAATAAATTATTTAAAGCAACATAAATTGAAATTATAATTCTAGTGAAACTAAATAGCGTTACATTTTATTTTAACATTAGTAAAAAAATCATGATTGCTCTTAACCAAGTGCTCGACTGCCGAGCTTTATAAATCGTGCTAATTGATTTCAATCTTTTATTATGCCTCTGCTTGACAATTATTAAAATGAGGTTTTCGGGAAAAGCGAATTTTGAAATAGTTATTATTCATTTTTTTTTTTGGGAGAATGTGTGATTAAAAATTAGGAAAAATTTTGAATCTACGAGTAAAATATTTTATTGTGAGAATGTGTAATTGAAAATAAATTTGAGAAAAAATTTATTTTAATGATTGTGAAACAATGGCTATGATTGTATGTTTAAAGATGGATGGCCATTTGTTAAGCCCCCGTTTCCGTTCTTTGGCCAAAAAAGAAAATTATGATCGTTATTCATCACATCAAGTCAACATATTTACCTTTCTATCTCTTGTGTAGATTCTGTAACGACTATATCTTTCATTTTCATTTCTTACAAAAATGAATATCGAACGGGGCCTAAAATATGGTTGGCTTCAGCTTGATTTGGTGTTTTGATTATTTGAGTCTGACTTGAATTTATTGGTAACTTTGTTTCGATTTTCATGGACAACATCGATCTAGACAATGAATAAAAGTCTAATATTCATTTTAAAGCTTTACCCTCTTTATTCAAAAGCTACTTCTCACTAGTTACTAGACAATGAAAAAAAGTCTAATATTCTACCTAACTCGCAGAATTTAATAATTAAATTACATATACCTCTATACTAAAGTCAAAATGTATAACGGAAAAATTTAAATATTGGGTTAAACCTATAGCTGCTACTCAACCTATGCCCGGTATTAGTAATTGCCAACTGTACAACCTATTTATTACAAATGTCAAAGATAAGATTTCGAAATTATTTATCCAAGTTTATGTTCGTGTGAATTAAAATTTCAAAACAAATTTTCATAAAATGTGTTGTTAAAAAGTTAGGAATTTTAATTAAATTTTAATCTGTATCAAATAGGGGCTAAGTGTTTATTTGAGAAAAATTATTTAAAGTGAAAAATAATATTTCTTTGGAGAAGGTGAGTTTTGGGTTCACATGTAAAACTATTTTATTAAAATAACGTATGATTGAAAATAAATTTAAAGAAAAATAATTTTTAAGTAAGTACGTTGTGCCAAACAAACATTACTTATGCAATGTATTTGGATTGATTAGTTTATTTCATCGAAGAGCATGAACATATTATAAGATTAATTTAGTCATAATTGCTTATTGGAGAAGTATTGTTAGATTAAGACATTATCAATTGACTAGACGTTAACCTCATCTTAACATAGTGTAATGATGTTTTATTCCACATTGGTGCTAATGACAACCTTTTCCTTGAGCCAATCATTCTAGTCATGCTTGGCTAAGATTAAACATTTTACTCATTAGTAATATTTTTTTTTTTAACAAGTCGAATTTAATAATAAGTTACTTATTTCAATCACTTAAGACTTATTTTTAACTCAATAACTTTAAACCCAATACTAAGAATAAAGTGTAACGTCCTAAAAATATTTCTCAATAAAAGTAATTTTAAACTTTTTAAGCTTAGCCAAATACACAAAGTTTGACTCCACTTGATGTATGGTGTTAGGAGTTCGAGGGGCTCGACTTGGCCCACCATGCAAGCTAGCTCGCACTTTGTGTGGGATGAGCCGATTGTGATTTGTCAACTTTTTTAAACAAAAAATTGCAATTTCACTCTCGAAAAACTTATTTTTACAAGATTTTCATCGCTCACCCCAAACGTGAGTTGAGCTGGTTCGATTCATTTGTGCGGCAAGGCGAGGCAAACCAACTGTCGGCTCGTTATACTTAGCATCCATACTGTAGGATTCAAATAAATATTTAAAACAAAAAGTGATAAAAATAAAAAAAAAGAATAAAAAAAGTCTTCATTTCAAATAGTAGTCTAGATTTTTAAGTCAATTCAATTATTTTTACATAAAAACTTTCACTTCTTTCAAGGGATAATGCTCCTTTTAGACTTTATCTGAATTAGGTGCTAAAGTTGTCTCTTCAGTTGAAAGAATATGGAACCAAGCTTCTGTTCCATTTCAAATTAAAATAAATCACAAAGCCTGAAACGTCTCAATGCTTTAATAGACATGTCCTCGTATATTAACCTTTTACTTTCCCAAAAAGCTACGTGTTAACGTATCGAAAAACCGTGTTCTCATTTTGTAAGGAAATGCTTTAAAATAAGCAACTTACAACTTATATTAGTCATAAGTAAATTTACTCATAAGTGCACCTAGCTTACTTTGAACTTTTCTTTAAAAGTAAAAAAATGCATATCGAGATCAAGAAAAGGGTAGAATTTATGATACTTTTGAGGCACATGGATATGAACACTTCACCTTTTTGTATGTTAAAAAGCACATAAAAAGCAAAATCAAACTTTGGGATCCGATAAA